GAACTGCGATCGGTCGCAACAGGCAAGTGCACATCAAATCCGAAGCCTTCTCTCTGGCCTCGTCTGCATCTCTGCAGCAGTTCTCGCGGCAGATGTGCACCGGTGGTCCTGCGGGGCAACACATTTCAGAGCTGGGCTGAAAGGGAAAGGGAAAGGAGGTTTCAGGATGAAAGGTTGTCAGAGTACTAGAAAGGGTTGCTAGCCGACTAGCAGACTCAGAATTAGACTAGTAGTAGCCATTACCAGCAGTGTCAGTGGCAGCAGTAGTAGAAGTATTGAGGGCCTCAATTGAAGGTATTCTTGGTATAGTAGCAGCAGCCGCAACAGCAGAAGTAACTTTATAGCCGCGCTAGTGACCGATGCACTCTTGGTTGTTGGCAATGGTAGTTACTAATAACTGATAATTGTAATAACTGATAAGGAGCAGAGTACAATTTGGTATGTGTTTACTCAGTTGTACGATGCAGCCAATAGCCAATATCCACTATCCAGCAGCTTCAAGAGCAGGTACCTCAGTAACGAGCAATAGCACTAAGACACCCATACAGCAAGAGTCGATCTTCGTAGCATATTAATACGTATTATATATAATATAAATATCATTACATGATTACATGAAGGTATTGCGAAGCATGACAATCCGACGCATGGTTGCTAGTTGATTAGACTAGCTGATAAAGGATAATTGATAGTTGATAGTCGACAGTGCGCTCAAGGCTCTGGTGGGTTTAGTTTAGGTTTAGGGTTTAGGGCTCATACAGGTTTAGGGTTTAGGTCTAGGGCTACAGTTCAGGGGTAATAGCTGCAGCCCCACTGCCATCCAATTTCAGCGAGTTATGCCACCATTCAACATGAACATCCCTGCCGGAAGCTGCCAGAAGCTGGGGAAGTGGGGGCAGTCATCCAGTTATCCAGCTATCGGGAAATTATTGCGAGTAAACTTCAAGGGCAGTACCAGCATAGTAGCTAGTGCGCAGCGCGTGGCAACCTCCTTGACTTTCCTTTACTGCATTTCAATTCACTTTACATGACTTGCTTTACGTTACTATGACCTCATTGTCAATGACCTCATGCAATGTTTCACACATGTTACATAATACCCATAACTAATACTAATAACTAATAAAGAACTAATTACGAATAATTCTTAGCCACAAAAGCCTGGCCCAAGACTTAGGTTCAAACCTGGGCAGTCGTTTGGGCCGTTTGGGGTCCTGGTGGGTAGTTGAACTGTAAGGAGTAAGGAGTTGAATGAACATGAATATGAAAACACTACGCGCAACGGCCACTGGAAAAAATCAAAATTATTGCCAATGGCCAATGGTCTGGGCTCTGCCAGTGCCGTTTGTTATTTCTTACTGTTTCTTGCAGCTCTTGGTTGCCCCATTACCTGAAACCGAATCCTAAGCTCCTAAGGCCCTAAGGACTCCTAAGTTCATCTCCCATGCTACGCTGTGCTGCCCCAGGCCCATGCCCATGGCCGTTGGCCCATGCCGCCCGTCTTACGTTAAATTATATTATGTTCATATTCATATTCATATATACTCTGCGCGCTACCACTTCTAACACCGGGGCTTTAGGGCTTAAGGCCAGGGCTTAGGGTTTGGGTGTTTAGGGAATTCACACAAACATTGTAACATGAAGCACGCATGCTGCATGCATCAACCCATTGCGGCACCTTACGTAACCGACTACTACTATTCCTATAATCATATAACAACAATAATAATAGCCTATGGATAGACTATATGACTATGACTATGACTATGACTCTGACACAACAACAAAGGAAGCCTAACCCTCTGCTACAACCAAGCCCCGCTCACTCTCTTTTTGGCATCGCCTGCGGGAGCGGCGATTCAGATCTTTGCATTCCATATGCCCATCCGCGGCCAGAGGCCCAGCAATCCCCGACTAGCCTTCAGTGCTCTGGTCCGGTGTTCCTGCGAGGCCGGAGGCCCTGAGGCCTTGATATTAATTAAGGCTACTTATTTGGAAGTTCCCTGGCGGATGGGCATGGCATGGCAGCCTGCGCTGCAAACTGCAAACTGTACAAGCTCTTATAGCGCGCCAGCTCTGCCGGAAAAGGGCTATGTAGAGCTACGGCAAAGTGGCAAAGGGCAAAGGCGGTCTCTGACCTGGTCCAGGTCAGAGACCGAGCTCACCTTCAGGAGAAAGCAGGGGGCACATATTATTGATATGGGATAGTTTGAATCAAGGGTTGAGCGGCTTTGGGCCTGGCCTTTAGCACTACTAAACCCTAGTGAGACCCAAGGCCGGTTTGAGGATAACAACCAACAAATTACTAACAAACTAACATTAACAAGTACAAGTAACAATTGTATTGGGAACTCCGATTGGGGAAGGGCTGGGTGTTTCTAACTACCGCACCTCTGCCGGGTCTGAGACCGCCACTCGTGACGGTCGGGAGGTGGGTGATACGATGGCGCCTCCCACCATCGGAGATAGCTGGCCGTGTCCCGGGAGCATTTCAATGCCACGTCCAAGGCGGCGCGGCCCTGAGTCCGAGTCATATAAAGATTTACACCATGAACATACAACATAATTGAATAGTCTATAATACTCTGTAGTCTCTAAGCTTAGGCCTGGAAGGCTTTAGTTAAAGGCTCAAGGACTTATAGATTTATATAGTCACATAGACACATAGACATAGAAATATCATAAAGTATAAACTTAAACTTATAGGCCATTTATGGGGGCGTATTGACTTGTAGGCTCATGTAGACAATTAGTAATTAGTATTAGGCGGGCTTCGGGTTTCGTAGTTTGGGGGCAAACCCTGAAATCCTGCTTGGTCAACGCCCGAAGTCAGATCTAAATCAAATCGAATCAATCCAACCTGACAAAACATAGCATAAAACAAACATATTACCACATCACAATAAGAAGAGTCGAGGCTGTTTGCCATCGCCAAATGACTCTTCACCAGGTTCTTGCCGCCGCAATCGTTGAGCCGCCACATGATCTTTTTGATCAGGTGGATGTGTCCACGCGCCGCCGCCAAATGTGGCAGTGGCCAGCGTACCCCCCCTGGTCTGCAGACCGTTGACGCTCATCTGGTGAATCAGAGCCGACCCCATTTGGTGGTGATGAGGATTTTGCCCCACCCCCTGATCTGCGAGGACCATGAGCGGCGTCCAGTGCGGGGGGGCTCTCCCCATGTTGGTAGCCTTGTCGCAGAGCTGGGGCGCCTTGTCCAGGATGGCAAAGACCAGCTTGAGCGAGCCCATGCGAACCGCCCAATGAAGGGGCGTCATGCCAGCCGGGTCGCTCATATTCATCAGAGCGTCCGGTCGGAGACCTGCCACAACATCCAATGCCAGGCTTTCGTCGCCCTGGAACATCAGCTCCAAGAGCCCTTCGGCATTGTCATTGTCGGCCTCGGTCTGCTCCTGAGCCTTGACCAGCCTCTCAAGATGAGCCCGCTGCTCTGCCATCAGCTCGCAGAGACGCTTCAACTCTTCTTGGGTCGAAGGCTCCTGTGCCACCTCTGCTTCACCAGGTGCGACACCGGGAGCCGTATCCCAGTCCAAGACCTCGTCGTCATCTCCACCTAAGCTTTAATTTAAAGCACGAACAGACTCAAGTCTCAAGCATTCACCAACCCGTCTTGATGATTTTGATTTTGATAGACACCAACAGCATCTTACACGGCTAGGAACAGTCTAAGTTTTAAGCAGTTATATAACTATAGGCATAGGCATCATACCAGTCAATCATAGACAAAGACTGTGGACTTCGACCCTACTCAAGGCCATGGGCCATGTCCTAGGTTTTTAGTTAGGGCCTAGGGCTATTACAAAAAAAATATCTGTGAAGCCGAGTGACCAGCTGGGTCACTTGTGCTCGCGTCCTGGGGCGCAGATCTCGCACCGAGCTGCTTGTCCAAGCTCCTGAGGCTATCACCCAAGTTATGGAGGAGGTCGTAGTCCACCTGCTTGAGGGCACCCCGCGGACTTGATGCCTGGCTTGACTCACCAGGCAGGGTTGCAGGCTCTGCGGCAGACTCTGCGGGCTTTTGGAGATCGGCCGAGCCACTTCCTGCACTGGCTGCTGCTGACTCATGTTTCCAGGTCTGAGACCGAAGCTCTTGGGCTTCCGCTCGACCTGCAGAACCAGTGCTTGTGGCACTAACCACACTAACTAGCTGAGTCCACCTCGATGGACTCCACAGTGGAAAAGCCGCTCTGCTCTGGCTCAGAGCCATCGACGACCTGAATCCAGCTTGCCTCAGGGTGTTGGAACATGTCAACTCAAAATCTAATGGGCCAAAGGCAATGCCCCAATTTACCCAACTGGCAGGGGCCTCCCCGGCACTCGAGCCCGCACCAGAATCATCCACATCCGAGCGGTCCCGCTTGGCTGGCATAGTTGGCAACGGCTTTGCCAGCGGTACCTGTCCATCCATTTCTTTTTTTAACTGGGGGTTGAGAATGAATCCTAAGATCCTACAGCCTAGGGTGTTGGCCTTGTTTTTGCCTATGCCGCCTACGCCTGGCCCATTCCTATGATTCTATGATTCCTTCTAATTCAATGAGTAGTCAGTTGGACCCACTACAGAAAAAACACCTTAGTGAGTTGCCTTCAAGTTATACTTACTACTAGTTACATGAGTCACATGAGTCACATGAGTTGCCTGAGTCACATGAGTCATGAGCTAAAGCTGACAATCACAATTCAAAGTCTTCCCTGCCAGCCTTTGGCTTCGGCCGGAGGCCACCCCTTGGTGTAGGCGGCCTTGCCTTTGACGCATACCCATAGCTTGAGCTGGCACTGCCAAGATCCGTCCAGCCCTTGAAAGCCTGCAAAAGAGGCTTTTTTTATTTGAACTAGATTTTGTAATCTGGGATAATGCTTAGGCGCTTAGGCTTAGGTTATAGAGTCCTAGCCATAGCCATAGCCTAGCCTATAATTTATAGTCTATAGTCTATAGTATGTTGACTGGCACGATTCTACAAAATTCTATTTCAGCAGCAGGCCTCCACAGGCTGCGCAGGCGTCCACCCCAGGCTGCAAGCCAGGCTCAGGAACTCCGCGGGCTTCATGAGGCTGTTCAAAGCTGGCCTTTCGCCTGTCTCTGGATTGAACCCAATGGCAAGCTGAGCTGGTTTGCCCAACTTGCTGAGACAGCGAAGCCCTTCTTTCGAAAAATACTCCGCCATCTCGACCAGGGCATCTATAGGCCTCACATTGCGCCGGTGGCGGCTGTGCTTTGACTCCGGCGCCGTTGATTGCAAATCCACCAGACTGCGAAGACTCTGCAGGTAGTCATAGACCTCATACGGCGAAGCTCCAGTCAGGAAAATGATGAAGCATCCTTGCAGGAATGTGGACCTGTGAGCTCCATTCTTGCAGCTGGTCAAAATCTTCGATCCTTGGGCCAGGAGTTTGAGCATGCGGTCGAAGACCCCGACAACAATTCTTGGATCGATGTCACCACAAGCGAGACCGGTTCCGTCAAAGTTGCCGAGGAACTCCACCCTAGAATCTCGAACGACAGGGGGGTGAGAAGCCCCAGCCAAGATGGCGTTCACGCCGTTCTTTACCAGGACCTCAATCTGCCCACTTGCTCCGATTCCGCCCAGCCAGCACTGACCACCATTGCGCAAGTCAAGGACAATGTGCATGGGGCGCCTGCTCAGACATGATCAGTCCCAACAAAACAAAGTGGAGGCGGCCTAGGGCAGGGTACTGGTAAAGTGTTGCAATCATTGCCTGCAGTTATGAAGTATTGAATTCTAAATTGGTATGAATCCCCTATGAATCATGAACCATTATGATTTGATATTAATGATTTACATTACATTATCACGCCAAAAACTAGTAACAATTTAGATGGTTCTCCCATCAGGCCTGGTATTGTATGCATCCCAACAGACCTTTCTCAAATTGGCTCCGCCGCCATAGGAGTCTGTCACCAGGACCTTCCCCAGGTCAGAGACCGCAGCAACATGAGTCACTTCGCTGCGTTTGTCAGTAACCGGGAAAATATGGCCCTGAAGCACACGGGCGCTCGCATCAAGCGGCGCAAAGTCAGGGGTGGCCATGGCGCCACCACCGCACGACATAGTACACTGGCAACTTGCTAGTTGCTAGCTTGCTAGTCTGAGGCAAAGCAGCAGCAGATTAGCAAAACATAGCATAGCATAGCGACTGTTCATCCAGCACTGCTCAGCCTGCTAATAGCGAATAGACAGAATAATCAGAAATTTGCGAACTAACAATACTAAACATGCAACATGAAGAGCAACATCTCAGCGTGTGGTCTTATCTTGTAAGAGACCTCCCCTAAGATAAGACGGACATAGCCACATAGCCCCATAACAAACTCGACCTGTAAAGCAAACTACATAGAGTACCAACACAAACAAAACCATTGCCTGCCATTGCCGAAAAGCTCAAGGTCTTCATCAAGTGTTCGTCCCTATGATTCTATGATTCATAGTCTATGGTCTATGATCCTACTATTAATGTCTAGGCAAATGTTTCCTCTCTGGTTGGCCCTACCTGCCCTAGCTCCTTAGTAGATTAAAGGCTGAGGTCATTTATATAACCAAAGACACCTACATGGCGGGTTGGGTAAATGCATACAAGGGCTTTCTTTAAATGTCATTGACTCATTGGCTCATTGGTCTGAATTTTTACTCTTAACTGTACCCACACCATACACAAACTTCAAACTTCCTACTAAAGGGATGAAAGGCCACTACATCATTCTTGTTTCTTCTGACTTACCTCTTTAGTCTTTAGAAGCCCGTAGACAGCAAATCAACAAAGTCAGTCCTGTCCACGGACCGCCGAAGAAGTTCACCAAGTGCTGAAAAGCTTCTCGGTGTGTCCCTGAGCGGAGGGGGTCTGCATCATCATAGCTCATACACATCTTAATGAGATCTTGGGCTTGAAGCTGCGCTTGAGACCACTCTTCCATAAGTGCTGGAGGGGTTTCTGGAAGAATAAGCAATTTCTCTGCAATGAATCCAGATGCTTGCTTCTGCAACGCTTGCAACAAGTTGCCCTTGCTCATTACCTTTGCAACTGAAAAGTTGCCACCAAGATTTCCAAGGAATTTGGTAAGTTGTTCGATTATGTTACCGACTCGGTGCTGAAGGCAAAGCGAAGGCAGAAACAAATGCCGCTCTTCCAACTCCTGGTCAATAAACCGAAGCATGCGAATATTGGCTGCGTGCGCATCTGATGTTGTAAGGGTAGCAACATACTTAATATTGCCATCAAGGACCTCTGAAAGACCCCCATTCCCACTGCTCAGGGCTGCATGCATCGTAGCAGAATTCATTACAGGACTCAGGATGGCAGGAGGTCGCAGGATGTGCTCGTCATGAACCTCATCATCTCCTTCAAAACGGTAAGTGAACTGAGCGTGTGAGCAAAGCACAGAATACGAAGATGCAATGTTGTTCGCCATGCTGAGGTCAAAAGAAGATTCATCAAACATCAAGTTCTGGATGGCATATACCATCTTTGCTGGCCCCTGGCCTTCCATGTCAGCCTTGAGGCGTGCTTGAAGTCCCTTCATGCCTTGCTTTTGCCCTGTCATGATTGCTTGAGCCACCACGAGCCGACTCTGAGCTGCTTGAGTCTTCCCAGCCCCTTCAATGCAGCTCGCAACTTGACTGTTCGTAGCTTTTTCATCACTGAACCCAGCACGGAGAATAGCAATGGGGGACCATGTTTTCCATGCCCCACGACCCTGAAACTGGGGGCGCTCCAGCCCAGTTTCTTGCAAAGGGAAATGAAAATCTTCATTGCGAGAGCGTCCGCTGGAATTAAACGCCCGTGCTTGCCTATCAAGCCCGAGCTGCTTCTTTGTTAGTTTCTTGACCTTTCCAGGTCTGAGACCGATTCTGATGCCAGGTCTGAGACCGCGACGCAGTCCAGGCCTGGGGGCACTAGAAGCAGCAAGTTCAGGCTCCTTGGCAGTTGCAAGGTCCGGAGCCTCAACTTCGTTGTGGATTGCTTGGGCCTCGTGCAAGACACCAAGAATATCATCCATGTCAAGCATTCCAGCTGCAACATCAGAATCATCATGCATGCTGAAAAGCTAGAACTAGCTAGCCAGGCTAGTGCGTGTCTCAGATAATCACATAATCCTACCATCCTGTCTTTCTTCATGCTGTTGCTTCATGGTTCATGGTCCTATGGCTCATGTTAACCCATTTTACAAGATTTGAAGAATGAAGTCATCACAGTAAGCATGTGCTGCGTGAGCCTGCAAACATGTCAAGCAGCTTGCCTTGCAGCAACAACTCAAAAGACTCAAAAGCCCTTGCTCTGTCTCAACAAACATGAATCAGTCCAACTGCAGTAATCGACAACTACAAACAAGTAGGTAATTATTATAACAAATTCAAATTCTATTTATTCAATATGTTCGATTATAAACTATTATTGTTTTTTGTTATATATTTATTTATATTTATTTTCTATATTTCAATATTTTAACTTTTTTGTAAAAAGTTCTTTTTTAGCAAAAATGTTTCAATGTTTTTTTTTGAAAAAGTTTGAAAGATTTCCATGAGTTTCATGTTTTCTAATTTTTTGGATTTTGGCTATTTTTATATAAAAATCACCACAGGCCTTCTTAAAACCACTCAAGAAACAAGGATGTTCAGGGCTTAGGGCAACATGGTTTACACACAACTCCAATTACCTACAGTCTGGTAGGTATAACCCATAAAACTGCATTACATTGGGGTTGCAGGTAGGGTCTAGGATCCCAGGGAGTTACCAACAACACCGCGTGAGTCAGCCAACCTTTACCGTGTTAGCACTATCCCTAAGGGTCCAAGTACCCAATAATCATATACTTACCCATAACCTGTACCAAAAATACGATTACCCTAAATCCCAAGTATCTCATTATTGGGCACTTGGACCCTAAACCCTGTACATCCCTTCAATAGGACCCAAACCCCATACATCCCTTTAATGGGACCTAATTATTGGGTACTTGGACCCTTCGGGTATGCTAAGCGCAGCCATCAGGCCACAGAGTTCGTGTGCTTTGGAGGTCTCATATCAAATTCAGGCACCCAGTTTAGGGGTTTCGGGGTTTAGGGTGTCGGGGTTTAGGGGCTTAGGGTTTAGGGGTTTAGGGTGCGGGGCAGCGCAAAGTGAGCCATTCGACTACCATGACACAGCTGATCAAAATACCTTCTCCCAAACCATCCAGCATGGAAAACGGCTCTCAGGCTCCCAGAACACAAGCCCCGCAATCGTAACAGGGACTGTAAAAAGCCTACATGAACCTCACAATATGGGATCTTGTTATCCAGAGTGCCACTATCCCTAAGGGTCCAAGTACCCAATAATCATATACTTACCCAGAGCCTATACTATAATTACCATTACCCGAATCCCAAGTACCTAAACATTGGGTACTTGGACCCTTAGGGTTATCTCCTTCCCAGTACCTTCAGAATTCAACCACAGTCTAGGGCTCAGTTGAAGACTTCTTTCAATACTTGCTTAACAGGGTTAGTGACCCAAAAGATAAATTTCAAATCCGCTGTGCCGGCGCGTCCCCGGTAGATTCTATAGTGACAGTAGTTGTGAGAATGTCGTACTTCAAGCGCTGGAGCCCTCAAGGCTCCTCAAAATAAGTAGAATAATGGCCTTTTGGGCTGCTTGTTAGAGGTAAGTTTTGGGTCAAGGTACGTGGAAACTAATCTTGCGCACTTGTTCTATCTAGATCCCGCGCGGGACCATGGACCCTAAACACTAGACCCCGCAGGACCACTGTGCAGGATGACAACCGCATGGGGCACAGAGCCCCTAAAGCCTGAACCCTTAACTCGAAAGGCCCAGAGCTTCCCCTATCTATCATGGGTTGAGGGTTCAAGGTTTAGGTTGTAGCGTTCAGGATTGAGGGTAACACTTGAACTCTTAAGCCCAGATTTTTGTCGAGGGCTTAGGCCAATCCAGCCTATGGCTACAAATTCAAGTCCAGGGTGCCAAGCCCGAAGCCCTAAAGCCTAAACCCTTACCCACCGCTCGTCATGACTAGATGTCAGATTTACAGAATCAAGCTGGAAACTTGCCACAGAAAAGCAGTTAGAGGATAAAGGTATTTGCAGCGGCGGTTCAGCTGCCATACATAAGACCGATAGCCCTTGACGCTCACCCTTGGAGAATCAAGTTGCGTGTACTGGCCTGAACGAGTAGATCCAAACCTGGTTTTCAATTTATTGTTCTTGTCCACCTGGAGTTTCAAAAGATTAGGAATACCATCTTGGCGGTCCCAATAGTCATTGTATTTGGGGGTCTGTATTGGAGTCCCTTTACTTTGGTAAACTATCATTTGATTGTGTATTCCCTGCATTCTAAACCCTAAACCCTTCCCCCAAACCCTATACCAACTGTTGATGCAGGCAACCTTGCACCATCTGGGGCCCCTGAGCTTCTGTAGCTCCACGCGGTTTAGGGTTTAGGGTTTAAGGATTTAGGGTTTAGGAACTGAAGGTGGTGCAAGATTTCCTCGATCAACAGGATTATCAGGTCCTCCAGTCTCTTGGCGACATCCGCCATGAACGGGAGTGCGGAGTCTCGCGCCTGGATCCGGTTACCCCAGGGCTATGATCTAGGGTTTAAGGGGTACGTGAAACTTAGGGTTTAGGAGTATACGCAGGGTTTAGGGCGTAGGGGGATATGTAACGAAGGCTTGGGTCTTTGGGGACTCGGTAAATGGTAAATCACACGGAAAATGGAAATCGAATGAAAGCTGAGCTTGTGTAGGGTCTTATAACGGTTGTAGGATTGAAGGTATGGCCGACTATTTGCTATAAGGGAATGCGGTTGCTAACTCGCTAGGCTTCCACTTACCTAGGTGTGAAAGGTAGCGAGACGGGGGAAGTATAGGAACTATTGTAGGGGTATAAACGGGGATGACTCCTTAAATCCAAAATCCCTAAACCCCAAAACACCAGACCTGAACCTCATCTAACGGTATATCCCATTGTAGTCGGCCTATACAAGGGCCTTGTAGGGATCCACTTTCTGGCTCCCCCTTCCCCCAATGCTGTGAAAATTTAAGGGGGGTGTACCCCTAGGGGTTTAGGGTCTAGCACTCCTAAGTATCCTAGGTTTAGGGTTGAGGGGTTTCTGGGTTTAGGGTTTAGGGGTTTAGGGTTTAGGGCAATGTGAAATAATTACCCTAGGGATCCAAGTAGCCCAATGTAGGCAATATTTACAGACTTTGGGACCCAATGTAGTTATATCTATGTATATACTTGGATCCTTAGGGCTACATTTACAACAACTGCTCCGCATGCAGCTTGAACCCTCTGGACAGTTTGGAAGGTTAATCTTTTGGCGCATCCTGCGCAGCCTCTGCATGGGCCGCTGGACAAGTAAAATGGGAATTCTTCTGCAAGTCCAAGGTCGGGAGGGCCGCAGTATACATGGATCATAGGCAGATTTATACTGTTTAAGGTGGGGGGGAGGGGTGGCACAATAAGAGCCACAATGCTCATTCTTTTGGGGTTAAACGCCGTACAGGGATCCTCACCACCATAAGCCCCTGATCCCTGAAGCCTGGGCCCTACGTTCTGAACCCTAAACGCCTCAGCATGATTGCGGGTATTTGGGACATCTCGGCAAACTCTGAAAGGCCCGGAATCCTAACCCTTAACCACATTTGCCATCACTCCCCGAGAGTTTGGATCAACTCAGAGTGCCGGAGTGCCAAAACCCCCGCTTAGGGTTTATACGGTTCAAGGTCAACTACCAGGAAGTGCGCCGGACCCCCAACCTGAACATACACCAAGCGCCAACGACGCCACCCTAACATGGCCACCCTTAAACCCTAGACGCCTGTACACCCAGCAAGCTCTAACCCTAAATCCTCAACCCGACACCCCAAAACCCAAAACCCCTAAACCCTATAAAACCAAATAGACCAATAGTTTCCATTGTCTTTTCCATTTCCCCCATATAATCCCAATATAAGATCCTAGACCCTAAACTCTTGAGGAACTTGAAGCCCTCCCCAATTGAAGCCTGAATCTGGAAATCAGCCAGAAGCTCCAATGACTTTGAAGACTAGGGTTTTAGGGTTGAACTAGACTCTGAGCAAATGATGCAAATCCAAAGTCCGCATTTATCCCTATAAACCTTCAGATCCCCATAAAACCCTGCTTTTGGAGCCCCCACACTTGAAAACAGGAACTACTGAAACTCCAACCGAAAAGCCCAAGTCATGAAAACTCCTGACCCCAAACCCCTAAAACCCAAAATCTTTATCGTGTGATCTCCCGAAACTTCAAATGCTAAACCCTGATCCCGCAAACCCTAACCCCTAGAACCCCACAACCCTAACCCCTGAAACCCTAAGTTCTAGAACCCTAAACCCTAAAACCCTAAATTCTGGAACCCTAAAACCCTAAAACCCTAAATTCTGGAACCCTAAAACCCTAAACCCTAAAGCGCTAAATTCTACAACCCCACACCCTAGAAACCCCAGACCCTAAACCCTAAAACCCAGAACTCTAGAAGCCCCTAACCCTAGACGCCCTAGTAACCCTGGCAACCCCAGCCCCTAAACCCTAAAACCCTAAATTCTAGAACCCTAAGCCCTAAAACCCTAAACCCCTAAAGCTTAAACAG